TATAATTGCATAAAACATATTTAAAAATACTTTATATGTACCTATGTATTGTATGTTCAAAAACGAAAACTTTTAAGCAATTTGTTACCTGTATTGTTATTTTAGGCATTAAATTGCTAGATTTATAAATTAGAAAAAAACTTTACTAAAAATAAATCCAATCGATCCAGGCTCAGGATCAAATATCTCATGGCCGATCTTTGACCTTTACAAACATTTTTTTTTTTTAATTTTTTATCAAATTTCCGCTAGGTGTGTTGTAGGCTGTTTCTTTGTCGTTTCAGTTGTTACTTAATAATTGGGTGTATTTATTAAAAACACAAATAATGATCGTTTTCGTTAAATTCATTCATATTAATCTTATATACTCGTATAAAACTCTCGTGTCACAATGTTGGTTACCATACTCTGAAGCTGCTTGAACGATTTTTATGAAATTTTATATACATATTCAGTAGGTCTGAGAATCGGCTACTATCTATTTTTCACACCCCTAAGTGATAAGGGTTGTCCACCACTAACATTTTTTTTACAAATTTTTATAATAATTTTTTCGCCCTTCTACCACCAGCCTCTATTTTTATGGCGGTATGACGTTCGCTGGGTCAGCTAGTAATAATGCAAATGCTAGTAGAATGAAACCTTAAAATCGGTTTCGTAATTCGTGCCTTGCCGTATTTCTATCAATTGCTTTGTAGTATAATTACTCATTCACACATACATTTAACGGACTTGACCTACTTGATTTAATTGAACAATTATATTAGTAGCGTTATTATTGTTCCCGAAAATCATCAATTCACTTTCTATTATTTAGCAACAAACGTTTTCCACATAATTATTGGAACCATTTACAAAATATAGCTTTTACGTTTTATTCAGTCCACAGTTTCTGGCTCTCGGTACTTAATCATTTATTCCCAGTTCAATTTGGCACCACACCTTACGTGAAGTAGGAATGTTAATTACCTAATTAGGAAATTTCCTACAAATTATTATAAAACTAAAAATATATGAATGAAATCGGTAAAATCGTTCTCAATTCATGGTGTGACCAAGCGAAATAGGGATTCATTCATGTATATATTACATTAGTTATTTGCACATACTTTTTGACCCCAAAAGCGGGTTTATTTCTAAAGATACATTATTAGTACACCGCTACATCATCAGTACATCTATAGAGCATACATGTTAAATTTCAAGTCTCTTCCTTCAAAAACATGGGACTTTCATACAAACTTCCAACCCCCGTATTACCCCCTTAGGGGTGGAGTTTCTTGAAATTCGTTCTTAGCGGATATCTACGATATAAGGAACCCACCTGCCAATTTTTAAGTTTGTAGATGTTATAGTTTCTGAGATTTTGTGATTAACCAGTGAGTTGTATCTCGCTGCGACATAGTCTGCGTGAACGCTATACAGCACCAAAAATACCTACGATTATACCTTTTAAAATAACATTCCTTTACCCGTTTCTTCTTAACATGTCATATCTACAGAAAGCGCAGTAACAGGGAGACTGTCTTTTGTAAAATTGATCTTCAAAAAATGCTGATTTTCAGCCTGTTTTAAATAAATGACCTTTTATGGTGATTCTGCTGAATTAAGTCATAACTTGAAGCAGATAGAGAAAATAATGAAGGAATACAGAATAGGGTAAAAATACATACTTATAGGGCTTGTCGATAAACAACATTAGTGGTTTGGCTCTCCACAGCCAAAATGTAAAGAGAGTCAGGATTGGTGACGCGGGAGCAAGCGACGTACAGCTGCCCGTGTGAGAAGCAGCTCGTCCTGAGGTCGACACCCGCTGTCCTCATTGTCTGTCCCTGCCACTTATTGATGGTCATCGCGAAGTAAACACTCACGAGGAACTGTACGCGCTTGACCTAGAACGGGAATGTTTTGAGGTATGAGGGGAATGCGTGGTATAAATACTGCCTCGCCAACGCCACAACCCGTAAGAATTTCCGCCTCCATGGTGTGTCTGTGGAGCGAAATGACTTTAAGGCGGGTCCCGTTACACAACTTCGGAGGAGATAGGTTCCGAAGAAGCATAATCGGGACACCGACCTTCAGCTGGAAGTCCACTTGCTGACAGGGAGTTCAGAAATTACACGGGATAATGTGTGGCGACATCTTGCTCGACGACAGTGTTTGTAGAGGACCACTTCATTCCCCTCAATTTCCGAGAGAATACATTTGTTAATTGCTGCAGCCTGATCATTTTTGGGCGTCAAAATGGCCCGTTCACACACCCAAGAAATCTGCTGGTGCGGTATACGACTGAAGTTCCCATACACAGAGCGTATGAGTTCTTCTAAGCTGGATACAACTCTACCGAGAGATTCTGGGAGAACCACCTGTCCACCTCTCTCCTCTGGAAGAGTGCCTTCGCCAAGACTTGGAAGGACATCGGATAATTCTTGAGCACGTGCATTGCCGCCGAGCCGAGCTCTCATATTAATGGTTGACCATTAATATGAGAGCTTGCGCTTGAGCGCAGCGTACGAACACGAGACAACAACGAAGATGGTTTCAACGAAGCCTTCACCTCGTCAGCCCTCGATCCCCGCGTCCCAACGGGAAGCGATTGTTGGAAATCGCCACTGAACAGAACTGTGACACCACCCATCAATTGTTCGTTCCTGCGGATGTCCTGCAGGGTTCTGTCCACGGCCTCAACTGCCTTCCTACTGGCCATCGTACACTCATCCCTTACGACCAGAGAGCAATCCTTGAGCACGTGTCCCTTATCACTGTTACGTGACACCACAAACAGGCGTTTCGGCGCTGTCTGAATCGATGGGAATTTTAAACTTTGCATGTGCTGTCTTGCCACCCGGAAGCAGTGTGGCAGCGATTCCCGACGACGCTACAGCAATGGCAATTTTGCCTTTACTCCTGACCTCTGCAAGTATGCCATTGGTAACAAAAATGTTTTTCCTGTGCCACCAGGAGCAGCCAAGAAAAACATTTTACCCTGGTTTTGCCCAACACTTTCAAGGATGGTGTCATAAATTTGTTTTTGCTCTGAAGTTAACAAAGTGACATGGTCATTTTGTATAGTGGTAATTTTGACCGGATCGTAAATTGTCTCAGCGTTATACTACCGATTTCCACGGTCTTCATGCGGTGATGATTGGGGAGCTGGTAACCCATATTCGACCAGTGGATTGTCGCTGATAGAAATGACCACGTCTTGAAGTGAACTGAGACAGGTGTTCAGCACGTGTTCATCAGTTACTTCGACTTCATTTCCAGTAGCACGCCTCCTGGTGTTTTTGAAATCTCATAGATTTATTTATATCGAAAAAGTGCTTACACATGTAATTCGACTTTTTTTTTTTAACTTTATCGGCCTAAGTTACTTATTGTGTGAAGCTAACTTATAGCATGGTTAACATAATAACAACATTCAAATATGCGTCGTTAGATTACACGTTGTTACAGAATGCGTTGAAGAAATAAAGGTTCACTGCTCGTTCCCCGCAGGTGATAGCGTGATAATATATAGCCTATATGTTGACCCGACTTCTTATTAATATTCGTGCTAAATTTGAAGTAAATCCATGCAGTACTTTTTGAGTTTATCCCGGACATACATACCGACAAACGGACAAAAATTCTAAAAACTATATTTTTGGCTTCGGTATCGATTGTAGATCACACCACAAGTATTCTTTTAAAAAAAATGGGTGCGTGTACTTATGTAGGCGCGTGAGAAGTTATCCTTCTTTGGCATCGTTTAAAATTAGTTTTTAATTGCATGCAAATAATTAATTACAATAAATTAATAAAAAGTCTGGAAAAGGACACAGTCAATAAAGTTCAGTTTTAATTTGAAAAAATAAATAAATAATCAAAATATTCAATTAAAATCGCTACTGAATATAATTTATTAGAACATATGTGATTTGCATTTGTATGAAACTCAAACACGTATTCCGAATATACAAACTAGAAACATGTGGATAAATATTATAAATATGAATACCTATAACTGTTACTTTATTACAAAAAATAAAGATGTGGTTTTTGGTTCTACTACACCAATGGTCAACAGATGGCGCTGTAGTCTCCTGAATCGCGCTTTGGTTCCGTTGTTCCAGATTAATAAATACTTTTGATATTATGAATATGAATACCTATAACTGTTACTTTATTACAAAAAATAAAGATGTGGTTTTTGGTTCTACTACACCAATGGTCAAGAGATGGCGCTGTAGCCTCCTGAATCGCGCTTTGGTTCCGTTGTTCCAGATTAATAAATACTTTTGATAGGCCTTCACAATGCAGTCGTTAGCACCCACTAAATAGAGATTCTATTTCTATTTTGTTGGTAGATTTTCTTAATGTGCGGTAAACACAAAAGTAACAGCATGAAGTTGGTCGCTTTAGCGAACTTCATGCTGTTAAAATTTTGTGTTACAGTGATGCGCGCGCATCTTAAAATTTCACTCTCATCATTTTTTCATAACGCGTCTAAAGAAGTATAACTTCAAAAATATTCAATGTACAGTTCTGACTTTCCTACCATTTTATTTTATGTATAGATTATACCGATATCCCCAAATTACAACTTTCTACAAGTTCTATCGGTCTTTGAACTAAACTGTGGACATATAGAAGGACATAGCAAAACTATATTAATCTACTAAAACAACCATGTTTAAATGCCAGAATAGTATTTCAATTAAGAGCAAGACGCACGACGATCCCGTGTTGACTCGAAACTTTAAAAACCTGTTTACACGAAAAAATCTACAGTGACTGACTGTAGTTATCAGACAAATGGCAATTAAATGTCGCACGTACGAGTATGTATACACCCAACGAACGTGTCGTTCTATAACGTAATACCTAGGGAGATAAAGGACAGGTTATTCATTAATATTAATGAGTCACGAATGTGGTTGTATCTAAGACGCAGAGATATACCTACACTAAAAACTTAAATGCATCGCTCAATGATCAAACACTTTTTTTATTCACAGACAGCGAAAGCGGCGCGCGAGGCCGCGGCATGCGATCTCGAGGGCGACCTTCACGAAGATCACATAATTATATGAGGTTCTAAGTCTAAGTTCTTTTATTTCCTATTTAGTGTTATAATAAATTTCCATTTTCATAAATAAGTATAAATCTAGTTGATCATTTTCTAGAAACGTAATGTCTAGAGATTTATATTATAAGATACCTATTATTATGCGACAATCTTCTGTAATGACTTTGTGAATTTCTATTTTATATTTTGTTATTAAAGTGTCAAGAAAATGTGTATGCTTTTAATGACTATGTTAAACCAGTTGTCATAAAGTAGGTCAAGAAACATAAAAAGTATTTTATCATTATGGATTATCAAGTCTCAATAATTTAGTATTTAAGGTGAACATTTCCATATTAGTAATTATATCTTACATAGACATTAATAAAGTTGCTAAAGCTCGGAATTGTTTCTTTTTTTTATGAAATCAAACAAAGATTTTCAATACATGAGCTTTTTAGAATATTTTTTCTTATTACAATCCCAGCTCAAAGGCTATTTCTGATATTTAGCCTCAAATAAGCTTTAATAAAATAAGCGTGCCATTACAGAGTCCTATGTCCAGCAGTGGACTAAGATAGGCTGTTGATGATGATGGTGATCAAGCTTTAAGACGTGGAAGCGTATATACATACAAAAATAATAATAAATAAGGCAAGAGAGTAAATGTTGCAACTGGTTAACAAATATAGTCAAGTAACGTGTATTATATACCCACCTTTGAGTAATGTCTCATGCACCCAAATACCAGCTTACAACCAAGTTTAATTAAGCCATCATAAGCTTGGATTTCTTTAACAGTATTATTAATGTTGGGAATTTATTTAACAATCAACTCAATAAATAATTGGTATGAAAAAGAAAGCTAAAAGAACTTAGCCGAATTTTAACAAAAAAAATATTTTGAGGAAATGACTCTTTTTGAAAAGAGAGTTGGAGGAGGAGAGGTCGAATTATTACCATCCTATTCTACTGTTTGTTGAACAGCAAAATTGGGTTTTAGTATAAAGTTCTGAGAGTTCTGCGGGAACTAAGGTTTACTGCAATCCAAATAAAATATCTAAAATTTATCAAATCTGATCTAGCTGTCAGGGCCACATAACTTGACAAAGGAGGTCTTGTGAACTAAATTTCCATTTATAAAATCTTTATTATAGAAAGAATACACGGAGACCGTACATGACACGGGAGGATATAGGAAGATATCATTTTTCAAGTTATCATTTTCATAATATAGTAACCATATGCGAGCTTGTATAAACAGGTGTCATTTTGAAATCATTATGGACAAAATACCAACTAATGGATTTTACGAAACTTGCAAAATATCAGCACCATAATAAAAAAACATTTATTTTTAGTTTTTAATGTTTATTTTGATAAAGAAATAATGACACTCCTAAACCACACAGAATTTGAAATAATGCAATATTGTTTATAGGTATTTGATATTAAACTATAATTACACTGAATTATCGAAGATACATAATGGAATTGCAAATAAAACAATTATCACCATTTTAACATAATACATCAATCATTAAGCTAAGCCTTAATCTAGTGCCACCATATTGACAAACAATTTATTATGGTGAGAAAAATAATATGAAAATTTAGACATATCCATAAACATTTTCATCAGAGAAAGCTATGTAGAGGAAAAAATCTTCATCGTGGTGTTCTTGGTAAAGTGAGCCCATGGTAGCAGACGTCGGAGGAATAACATTGTTCACAAAGAAGAACAACGCATCTTCTGACCTCAAGTGAATGCGTTTTCTGATGAGGAAATAAAACTGTCCAACAGTTAGATCAGACGGGACTAAATATTTCTTCTTGTCGAGGTCCCCTAGTCTAGCCTTCGGAGCTTTCTCAACAATTACTGGAACTCGGTCTGGATACTTCCTGCGTATTTTCTCTCCTTCAGTCTTCCTTTTCTCGAAGGAATGCTCTTCTTTATATTGGAATTTCATTTTGAGAAAAAAATACACTGAAATTTCAGACAATGCCAATTAAACACAATTGGATACTACGACTTGTTTTTTGTTTTTGCGTTATTGTCTAAATCCCAATGACGCAATCAGCTGTTATGACAGGGCAGCGACGCAAAGGAAATGGATCATAGAAGAACAATAAAATGGAGTAGGTAGCAGTGTGACCAGGATTAAAATGGCGGTCCTGCTAAGTTTTGAGCGGGCACAGAATAAGCCGATTTGGGCCGGAGGAGTGGTAATAATAGTGTTGCTAAGTTTTCATTTTGTCTTACCCCATAGGTAAGGGACTATGTCAATGGTGTCGATCCTGCGTGATTCTCTAAACTTAAAACTAAATTTAACATCAGTCTCTCATTTTTATTCTGTATATAAAGAATGACAAGGATACAATGGTATCGATTTGACACGATTCTCTAAACTTAAAACTAAATTTAACATCAGTCTCTCCTTTTCATTCTGTGTAGAGAATGACCAGGATACACTGTTGTCAAATTTAAGTTTAGCTTTAGAGAATCATGCTAGAATCGACACCACTGTTGTCAAATTTAAGTTTAGATTTAGAGAATCGACACCACTGTTTACCCTAAGTGAACTCAGTGCTAACCTCTCACAATAATTCAGTCAATTATTTTAAGTTCCTCGAAGTCTATATGGGGTACCTAAATGGTTTCCGTGTAAATATATATAATAAATATTTTTGGAAACTAACTTTGTTGAAGTGAAACTTCTTTTCGGACGGGCTGTAAATGAAAGAATCGCATGGAAAAGATGAGACGGAAATGCGTCACGAGCGTCACACGACTATGTATTGTATATATGTTTGTACGGGATGTTTCACGACGAGTACGAAAGTTAGAGGGTAACTCGGTGAAGGCTGAAACGCTACGAGCGTCACACGCGAAAATTTATATATATACGTATATACGTTTTTTTTTGAGTGTGTATGCTGTTGGTCGCGGATGACCTTTACAGCGTCACCGGGTATGGGGACGGCGAGATCCTAAGGGGACCTCAAGCCGAGAATTGGCGAGTGGCGGGCTCAGGTAGCGTTATTCAGTAACGCTGCCGGCGCAAGTAGGTCACCCGAGGCCTCTAACGTGAACACACGTCGCGGGGCGCAAAATGCATCCGTCGGCAGTATAGAGTCGGTGCCTACGAGTGCGTCACCGGTCGCCGTCACCGCGCACGATTTCGCGCGCCCCGCCGTCGCTGCCCGCCCCTCTGCCTCGCCGGATAAGTCACGTGCATGCACGTCTACACCGCAACGTGCTTACGCAGCTGCTACCGCCAGCCAAGCAAAAGAGAAGAGTAGCAATCCCTGTGTCAAACGTGTTACTCCGGCTGCATCACAAAATCAGATTTGCAACGAAGAGGTATTCATCAAGATGGAAAGGAAGAAGAAGAAGCCCGCTCGCCGCAATTTGTGTGGTGTTGCCCCGACTGGACCGAATCACCTGCTGCGTCCTGCAATACCGACGACGCCGCTATACGTGTCCCGACTGCATTACTCTACGAAGGAAGAGGAAATCGTGGAGTACATACGGATTAAAACCAAGTTCTCCCTGAGAGTCGCACGGTTGGAGTCCCGTCACAATGTGAATTTTATTCATTTGTGGTGAGGGTGCCGACTGAACATCTGGCGACTTTCATGAAGGAGGCTTCCGAGGTCGGTTACCTGACACCACTTCGCGTCACACGTCGCCGTCTATACGTGTTAGTTAGGTGTTTACTAACATAGTTAATAATTTTATTCACTAACAACAATGTTTTATATCTGTATATATGTTAGACTATAAGGTATTTATCTATGGGCTTGTAGCCTGATTATAAATAAATAAAAAAATGGGTGCGTGTACTTATGTAGGCGCGTGAGAAGTTATCCTTCTTTGGCATCGTTTAAAATTAGTTTTTAATTGCATGCAAATAATTAATTACAATAAATTAATAAAAAGTCTGGAAAAGGACACAGTCAATAAAGTTCAGTTTTAATTTGAAAAAATAAATAGATAATCAAAATATTCAATTAAAATCGCTACTGAATATAATTTATTAGAACATATGTGATTTGCATTTGTATGAAACTCAAACACGTATTCCGAATATACAAACTAGAAACATGTGGATAAATATTATAAATATGAATACCTATAACTGTTACTTTATTACAAAAAATAAAGATGTGGTTTTTGGTTCTACTACACCAATGGTCAAGAGATGGCGCTGTACTCTCCTGAATCGCGCTTTGGTTCCGTTGTTCCAGATTAATAAATACTTTTGATAGGCCTTCACAATGCAGTCGTTAGCACCCACTAAATAGAGATTCTATTTCTATTTTGTTGGTAGATTTTCTTAATGTGCGGTAAACACAAAAGTAACGCATGAAGTTGGTCGCTAAAGCGACCAACTTCATGCTGTTAAAATTTTGTGTTACAGTGATGCGCGCGCATCTTAAAATTTCACTCTCATCATTTTTTCATAACGCGCCTAAAGAAGTATAACTTCAATAAAAAAAAAGATGGCAGCCTGTCCATATAGGCTGATAACAAAATATCATGTTTTTCTAACTTCAAAATTTTAAACTTTAGTAACTCTGAAAATCAGTATTTGCTTTGGTGAGAAGAGGAGTTAGGGGGTTCCTCACTCTCTTCCCGCTTCCTGAATCGTGTACCACTAAGAAATCTCGACGGCTATACAATCTACTTTCAAATAATGTTTTTACTGGACATTGGCCAAACGCACAAACCGTGCTTACCTCAAAAAAAGTAAAAAAAGACCTAGATTTTATTTTTACAACTTATTGGTAGACATGGGTCGGATTAGGTAACATCGATAACTATTCCACCTAATACTAATATTTAAAATTATAATCCAAAAACCTATTCTAATATATACGCAGTATCGTAGATCCCGCATACGTACGACGATACGATAATGTGTTTTCAATGCAGATTATGAAATGGATTGGATATCTATTATGAAAATAACATGTACGGCCAGTTTTTTTTCTATACTAGGTAAATAAAACATAATGTTTTGATATTGTTAATTTTTTTAACGTTATGTTATGCGTTACATAATTCATATTATTAACCTAAAATACTCTTAAATTTAATATTTACAATGCCTAAAACTAAATAATAACACTATTAGATTTTATTCTACACAAAAAACTACATAGAAAAATAAAACACAATTTTATTATAACTAAATTATTTACAAATCATAATAATAATAATCAAATTGGCTATTTACAATAATAAAACTATTCACAGACACTAAAATGCAACATAAATTCATCAAGCGGATTTGTAAACGTAAACTCGCGCGATGCAACATTTTAGCGCTCCAAGCAGGATCTTTTACACCCGGTTTCTGAAAAGTATGTCAAATATTGAATTAGTTAACAAACTGTCATAATTAACAATTTGTTAAGCAACTGTGGGTTTCTGAAAAGATATTTACCGAAAAATTAACGAATCTACTGTTAAGACAGGATTTATTTATTAGTCCGGCCACCCTAGCTAAAACCAGTCACGTTCATTCGATCATTCATGTTTTGTTTCTGTCTAACGCATAGCTTTGTCTCTATCTTTTGACAACTTATAAGTGACTTTTATTTAGAAGTCAGAAAAATAGAAGCAATTGTGTGTACCGAAAACATTGAAATTTATTTTCATTTATAGTTTTCACATAATATGTCACGAAAAAACGGAGCTAGCTATACTATACGGAGCGAGAAAAGAGGGAGCTTTTAACAATAGTGGATAAGTAAGTACCTAATAGGTACAAATCAGTTGTTCAAATCAAGCTTTCTAATCTATACAAAGAAACCGATCTGCTTTTGGCATTTAAAATTTGAAAATATATTGATAATATATATTTCAATGTAGGTACAAAGCAATAATAGAAAATAAGTCTACCAATGCAGGGACGGTGGAAAAAAACGTGACTTGGAAAAAAATTGAAGAATTTAGAAAAAAAAATTAAAGAATTGGAATTTACTTCTAAAGCAAATAAAAAGTTTAATAATAAATTATAGTGTAAATCTGATATAAACTACAATATATGATGTTTGTTTGTTTGTTTGAACGCGTTAACATCAGGAACTGCTGAACTGAATTGAAATATTCTTTTTATGTTGGGTTAGCCATAATTCTAGGAAGGCTTTAGTGTACAATAATTGTTCGTTTTAAGTTCCAGGTGTGGCAGTTTTCCCATCAGTTGATGGAAAACAGATTTTGAAATCCTGTAGCGATCCTTAAATTCTTCATCATTGTAATGAATTACAGGATTCATTCGTTTCCGGAACTGGCGAGTTGGTGCCAGATCTTCCTCGTCACTAGATAGGGATATATCGTCAGCAGATAAATCTGACAACATTTTTTACTGCCACTACATCAATCCTCTGACCAAAATATCAATAAAATTTCTTTTGACAGTCTGTTAATTGATCAATTTTCACCAATTACTTATTAAAACACAACAAAACGTTAACATGCAGTTAACATACAAAAAAGCTTTCCGGAAACCAAAAACTACTGCAATCGGCCATTAATTCGAGATTTGACATTTTCAATAACAAATCATTGACAAACTGTCACTTTGCTCATTGAGAAACCCAATGTGCATTTAAATGGCAACTTGTTACGTAATTTTTTCGATGGCATGCGTTTCAGAAACCGGGTGTTTATTCCATATATAGTGATCTGTGGTTTATTCTCGCAAAACTGCATGACCGGCCGCCCGCCATTTCATTTCATTTCTCGATCTAATTTGAGTGAACGTACGTCACATAGAATTTTTTGGTCTCTAATACGAGAAAAAATTAATAATCTTTAAAACTCGTAACCATAATATAATATATTTCGTGATCGTCGCTAAGCGTTCCTCAAATAAATAACACGATAAATTATTGTGAAGTGAGTGTCAACCGCCCCGAAACTGGGTAAGTGGTAATTTTAATGTCGCAGGCAGTTAAA